TCAACACTCTTTACTACCGAGCCATCTCTCCAGCACCAAGAAATGCTGAAATCTTTTTTTTAAGTATTTTAAAAACAGAAAAACTAGGAAATGGCTTTTTAAAAACCCAGCAGGGAGTGTAAGCCCAACCCTTGCTGTCTATACACACCAGCACCCAGATTTGGGGTATTACTTTATCTGCAATTTAAAATCCATACCTCAGGGTTCCTCGTGGGACCCGAGTACCCGGCTCTGGCATGCGTTTCTGTGCTGCTAGCAGCAGCGGCAGCGAGCATCAACGCCCCCGCGCTATGACTGTGACCATGACCACTGCGATGCCTGTGGGTGTGGGCTGGCAGCACCAGCAATCAACGCACCTGCGTTATGACTATGACCACTGCGATGCCTGTGGATGCGGGGGTGGCGTCCCACTGCAGTGGCCTGCTCTGAGGCTTCTTCATCCTGACTACTGTCCAGCCCATGCACAGGCTCAGAAGCAGGTAGAGCATCTGAATCTGGGAGGCAATGTCAAAAGCTACAGAGACATGAATATCAGAGTCAATAAAGTCCCACCATTCACAGCATTTGGCACACTTTATATTGAGACAGCATGCCCCTTTTTAAACCACAAAAATAAACTAAGGAAATTTTAATACGTTAAATATTTGGCATAAAATTTGTAATTGGTTATAAAAACAACTAAAACAAGGGCAATACTATCATTTAAAGACATAGATACATGGCTATATAGTCCTTAATATCTGTATTAGTCCAATCTTAAAGTCATTTTTTTCTTCTCTTTAAAACTTTTATTGCTATGTACAATTTTGACAAAAGAAATAAATTTTAAATATAATTTCGGCAACGTGGCAATATCAGTATCCGTTCTGCAGTGCTAATGATGCTTGATGGGGCGCTATAATATGGGATATCTTGTAAAACTGTTAATGAGAAGCTATGACATTTCCTAGCCTCCGCGACATCTATTATGTCAGTGTCCTGACGGCAAATGAGGAGCTCCATGAACTAGCGCCATGTGCCCCCAGGTGGCTGGCGCCTGCACTGCAGGAGAGCCTCACTGTGTAAAGAGCCAGCAAACAAAAATTTTTGTACCTGCACATATAAAAATCTATAAACGCTTCGGGTTTTACCTATAATTATCTTAAAGTGTAAGCTGCTTGCCTACAATAAAAGGTATTACTTTTTATCAGAGTGTATTTGTTATCACAATTTAACAAACTGCAATCCAAATAGCTAATACTTTCTACTTTCACTGCTTTGAGGTAAGAGATTCCTGGGGTATAATGTTTACGTTTCTGAGCTGCACATCAAACATCTATCAGCAACACACATATTATACCTACTTTGACAGCTTTCCTCCTGCTGTCATCTGTATTGAAACAGGCCACTTAACAAGCATGACATCATGGCCACTGCTGTGCCTTCCTGAATGCTCAGCAGCTGTGGTTAGCTATAGGGACCCTGCACACAAAAAAAAAATCGGGCCCCTACCTTCCCAACAGGCCAGGTGAGGAGAGGCTCCCAACAGCCGTTCCTTCCTGACAATACACAGCTCATGGCTGCTGGGAGTGGAGGGCACTTTCCTTAGTGGTACAGGGGCTTGTAAGCTGTTCCTGCTACCAGAGGGTACACTACCTAAATCACAGGTTCACCAACCCAGACTTGGCTGGAATCGTTTCGTCTGTTGTTGGTGTGCTGTCTGGGGTGAACAGATGTTTGCTGCTCCCCATGAAAAGTCCACGTATGTGTGCTTATATATGCATGACAGTGTATGCTTCTATATATGTATGACAGTGCATGCTGATACATGTATGATAGTGTATGCTTACATATGAATGATAGTAAACGTTTATATATGTATGACAGTGCATGCTGATATGTATGATAGTGTGAATGCTGATACATGTATGCGTGTATGCTGATACATGTATGCGTGCATGCTGATACATGTATGCGTGCATGCTGATACATGTATGCGTGCATGCTGATACATGTATGCGTGTATGCTGATACATGTATGCGTGTATGCTGATATGTACGATAGTGTGTATGCTGATACATGTATGCATGTATGCTGATACATGTATGCGTGTATGCTGATACATGTATGCGTGTATGCTGATACATGTATGCGTGCATGCTGATACATGTATGATAGTGTGAATGCTGATACATGTATGCGTGAATGCTGATATATGTATGCTAGTGAATGCTGATGAGTTGTCACTATACTTGAATTACAGACTGTCAGATCAAGCATATTTTTCTTTCATTACAAATGTTTAAGTGTGATGCCGATTAATTTCATTAAACATTTCAGAAATACAGTCGGTTAACTAGAAGAAGAAGTTGGCTGAAGGACTCCTATATAGGCTAAGTAGCAAAAACGAATACCTGAGGAACCTCCCCTTAATTTTTCCAGCTTATTTCTTTCTACACCAGGTTACAAAGCTTGAGGAAATACCGTAACTGGATAGAAAAGCCTGTGTTCATTGTTACTGAAAATAATTGCCTGCTACTTTAAACATAAGTCATATATTTAATAAAATCATTTTTATTTTATGACATAAATGTATATATAAATATACAGACAATATACATGTTATTTACACATGGACAGAACACAGCTCACACAGGAGCCACTTTCTTGCATGTAACCACATAAGCAGCCAACTCTTCTGTTGGAAGGGTTACAGGAACACCAACCTGTTAAAAAACTAGCGCCCAGAGCAAGCTGGCACACACGGCCCAGTGGCATGCACAGGACTTGGGAGACACAAGAAGCCCAAACAATCACAAAGTGAACCCACCCTGGAATACCAAAGGGACACAGCTCAGTGGTAGAGCCCTTGCTTCACAGGCAACAAGCCTTTGAATCCCCAGAACTGAAGGGAAACAAAGTCCGTCAGTACAGTAGACTGACTGACCCTCAGTGACCCCCGACTTCAGGAGCTTGTGCTGTGTGCTCTGACTCTGTAGATGTCACTCCCCAGCGGCCCAAGTGATTGCTATGGCTCTGTCCCACTTCAGCACCACGCTCCCATTGGCTATCCACATAGACCCAAGAGAAAAGCGAGGGAGAAGCCATGGTCTAGACAGTGTTCAGAAAGGAGAATGCCTCATATATGTCCAAGGTGAACTGGATCCATGACTTTCACAAGGTAACAAAGAACCTCAAGTTTCTTAAGAAAACTGGGTGATTGATCTGGATGAGTATGGAAAGACATATTGCTAAAGAATAATGACCTAAGAGAACCACGGGAAGAAAGAAAAAGTAAATTCTAACATTGTTCCATATTCACAATTTGTTGCCTATTAAAGCAAATCATAATTTCAGAGTACAAAGAACACAAAAGACTTGACTTCCCTATGGAGTTCTTTTTAAAATGTCACGATTATCAGACCTTTACAAATTTTTAAATTACGTACTAAAAGTTTTTCTTATAAATAAAAGAATGAAGATGTGAGGTCAGTTCAATTATAGGTGTGCACCTGGTCTTGGATCAGAAACAGAGAATGTCAGTATAGGAGAAAATAGAATTGCAACAGAAAAACCCCGTTACCTATGGGATGAGGAAACTTGCGTCTGAATCTGGGCTCTGCAGCCACGAGCCGGCTGACCCTGACTGCGCACTGACCGTCTCTGAGCGCAGATGCTGTTAGGTGGGACTGGCAAAGCACACCTGCTGCTTATTGAGGGTAAGCCGAGGAAGGGCATGTGACAAATGGACACTGAAGTAGGTAGTCTGCAGCACCTCTGAGGAGATCCACCCGTTAGAAGGAAAAACAGGAAGATGGCAAACTCAGCTTTGAAAGAGGCTCAGCAGGATACTCACCCTCTGCCAAACTTCCCATAAGAGGTAGCCCTATTCCATCTTTGGAGTACCTAAGGAATTGAAGAGGAGAGCACGAGTGTAAATTACAAATGGGAAAAAAATGTTCATCATCAAAGCAAGCAGAACTTTTTGTGGCCTAATTAGGATTAATTGGCTGTGATGATGAGCACAGTGGTTTGAGTTACCTGGAGAAATGGATGTAATTAGCCAAGGCTGATGCGGCCTGGAGCAGCAGTGCGGTTGTCAGGACCTTTAAGATGGTGCGCATGGGTCCTCCCTTCTTAATGGCCTGCCACAGGGACTGCGCGTAGACGCAGGCCGTCACAAAGTACACTAGGACTAGGAGGAAAAAGAACTCATGTAGGCCTGTGAAGAGAAGAGAGGAGTTTGCTTCAGTGAGCAGGGCAGTGGCGGGCGGCTCCACACCTGCTTCTCAATTCCCCTATGCTCGCTTTTGAGGCTGGGCTCGGCGTTCGTTCTTCTACGAGGGGACATGGAGATTACTCACTTCACCACTTGGGACCAAGTTTTATCTGTAAGAAGACCCCTAAAGCAAACCAGTTAAAGTCAATCTGTGGAGCCACAGTCACTCCAGGCAGGGTGAAGACTGTAAAATCAGACCTGTTCCACGTGACAGCAGCCAGTGGTGGCTCAGTGTGGAGTTAAGACACCTTTATGAGCTCAGTGCATCTCTTCTGAGAAGGCCAGCAGTGTTGTCACCACAGCCTAGCAGACCTTGGCCACACTTAACAAGTGCAGTCTCTGATCTAGCAACTAGGAGAACCTGTGATGCGCATTCATGGGTCCCAATTCAGACGCGCTGAATCGGACACTGGAGATGAAGCCCCAGGGTGATTCTGATTAATAACAAGTGGGATCACAGTCCTGGAACGTTCCAGCTTTAAAACAGCCATGATCACAGCCCCTCTCTCTGGTGCGTTCCGTAGCTACTGCCAAAGAGGAAGCCTCAGGTGACTGAGCCACTACTAAACAGAAGTATGACAGCAAACAAACGGCAGGCAATACGAGTGGCCAAGAGCAAAGTAGAAGAATCACTTGGCTCCTCAGAATTTAAATCACAAAATATGGAAAACAGGCCATCAAAGCTGAAGTGGAAAAGAGCTGACGCTATCCTCGGCCAGCAGGGTCACGCGGCAGAAACTATGCGCAAGAGAGTGGGTGCAAAGATACGACAAGGAAGAATGCGGAGCTGCACTGACAATAAGGACACTCATGATGTCCCCTCTCCACGGTCTCCCGCAGTGGTCACAAGGCCTCAGAATAAGCATTTCTGGAATTGAGAAATTTTTATTTGAGAAATTTCAGAAAAAAATTCTAATACACTTCAAGCTGGAAGTCTGGGAATTTTGTAGTTTTGAATTTAAGGAGTTAATTTAGTCTTCCTTTTCAATCCAAGGGGAATTGGTCCCAGGAACCCCTTACACATCAGGCCATGGATGTTCAACTTCCTCAAATAAAATGATGGATTTATGTATAAAAAACAATGCATATCCTGCTATGACTATAAATCGCAGTAGGCTGTCTTTAGTAACTAATACAATGTAGAAGCTACATAAACAGGTCTTATACTGTATTGTCTGGGGAACACTGAGAACAAAGCTGGCATGTTTTCAGCATAGAGAAATTTTCACATGATACTGTCCATCTGCAGCTGGCTGTCTCCGTGAACGAGGCATTTGCTGACATGGCTGTGCTACGTTAAATTCGCAGTGGCACCTAAGAATAGGCATTTACATTCTACAGAACCCCAGTGTGCAATCCTGTGTGAGCACGGAGAACTCTCCACTGAAGTCTGTGGTCGGACTAACATTTGTTCCCATTCCAGTGAGAATCCTGAGATGCTCTGGCCAATTAATGAAGAAAAAAGAAAATACTTTAAATATCCAAAAAAGCCATTTTGGAAAAGCAAACCAGGAGACAGATATCCCAGGAAAAACAGCAAACAAATAGCACAAACTCCTCCATTTTGGGGTCACCAGGAAGAGAACTAAAAGCAGCAGGAAGTCCTTCTACCACTGGGTGTCTCTCCTGTTCTACCACACAAATGATGGACATGGTTCTGACAGTGAAGAAGCTGGGTCAGCTGGCAAAGGAACCGCCTCATGCTAGGAGGAGACAGTTTGTCAGCGCCCCTCATAGAAAGAGACTGCACTTCGGAATAGTGGCCTGTAATTCTGAGATTACATAGTACAGGAACAAGGCAGGAAACACAGACGCTGCCAAGATACTAGCAGCTGTTGGTCAACAAAATTCCTTACATTAGCCATGTTTTGACCTTAGTTTTTAATTTTTCCTTCTTTGCATTAAATAATTACACAAAGCACACAAGCATCTATTTAAAGTTTTATTTATTTGTAATACTTTGTAAAGTACCCATTACAGGATCAGGTTTCAGGCCTCATTATGTAACAGATCCATCATTAAAAGAAAATTGTGACTATAAGGACAAAGGAACTTTATTCAGTGGTAAATACATTTCCCAGAAAAAGCTAAGATTATAAGCAAAAAATAAATAAATAAATAAATGAATAAATGAATAAATAAATAAATAAATAAATAAAATTATAAAACAAAGAAAAATATTTGATTGGATTAATATATTAAACAGACTAAAACACTGACTCAAAATTTGTTAATTAAATCTTTGATAACTGAGTCTAACCTTGAGTCTGTCCACAACACATTTTAAAGATAAAAATGCTGGCTCTCCACTCTGGGATTTATTATTATTTTTCTTTTTTAAACAGATCAGCTCTAAGACATATCTCTGTTTTCTCTTTAGCTATGTTTTTTTCTGCCTCTAGCAGTCACAAGAAAGCAATCTGTGTTGTTCAAACTGAAATTAAAATCTAATTTTAAAACAGGTGGGTAACTAAAAGTCAATACACACTAAAGAAAACTTAGATGAGTCTGTAGCAGATGGTGAGCGTGCACGAGGAAACGTGTAGATATTAAAAGCCTTAAAGAAGCGTTGATAAGACTGAGTGGGGAGAGTGCTTAGAGAAAGGCTCCTAGGGCCTTCACCTCATGTGAGCCAGGGAGCAGCACCTTCCTGGTGCTCTGTCCCAGAGCACAGCGACGCCCCACCCTCAAGTGTCAACTCCAACCATGACTCCAAACCACCTGACCATCTGTCTACCCTCCCGTTTTCCAACACTGAGACTGATGGCGCTACAGCAGTGTAAGATGTGTAAGCCTGGTTAGGACAAAGACATGTGAGGGGAACTCCATCCTTCTGGAAAAAGAAGCCTTAGACCTTCTTCTTAAGACATTCCCTTATGGGCTGGAGAGACGGCTCAGAGGTTAAGAGCACTGGCTGTTCCAAAGGTCCTGAGTTCAATTCCCAGCAACCACATGGTGGTTCATAACCATCTATAGTGAGATCTTCTGGCCTGCTGGCACACATGCAGGCAGAACACTAAATAAATAAATCTTTAAAAATATATTTATTTCCTTACTGTCTCATCTGTTACATTAAGCCCCACAGTTGCAATATTTCATCAGTGATATGTGGGCTGTCCACTTTGGACCATGAAGGGAAAACAGAAAAGCATAAATGTGCCTGCTAAAATCTGGACAATATAGCAAAGCCTATAATGTTCTTTCAATAAAAACTAGCCATCTGCTTTAGATGACAAGCTCTCAAGATTCCAGGTACTTCAAACAAGAGCAGAAAACAGTTACTAAGATTTTTAATATTCTAATTTTTTATATTTATTTTGAGAATTTCATGAGTAATGTATTATATCATTTCCACCCTTCCTTCCCCCTCCAACTCCTCTCACTTGTATCCACACTCCCTCTTAAATTCATGATTAATCCTTTAAAGAAGCAATTCCTTTTTTCTACCTGAAAAGCCTTATATCCCTACTTAGTAGTATGATGTTAAGTGGCGTCCAATTTGCCTTTGCTGGTTTAGAAAAGTAAGACTTGCACTGCAAATCAGGGATTAACTGTAGGCATAATGTTATTGTGACCATGTAAAGATTCAAATGCTGATTCTGTGCCCCCATAGCCAGCTGCAATTCTTGTTCTGAGAATCTCCTGTTTAAACTTGGCTCCCCAATTGTCCCTGACATGTCAATAAAACAGTTCAACAGCCAATCACTGAGCAGGGACGAGAACTGGGCTGGACTTCCTTCCAGCCAGGGGAGGAGAAGAGAGAAAAAGGAAGTAAGAGATTGAGCTAGAGGCAGAGGTCCAAGAGACACGGAAAAAAAAGAGCAGTTGGAGAAGAGAAAGCCATAAAATGGAAGTATCTCGGGGATTTTGGCAAAGAGGAAAACAGACCAGCTTAGAGTATTGAAATAGATAAATACTGCTCAGTTCTTGTGCCGGGAAACTGTTTAAATAAATAACATAGTTCAGTCTCTATTGGTGTTGGCCAGGTTAAGAGAGAAACTGCAACACACAGTTTTAGAACAACCGCTAACATTACCTGCAGTTTAGATTTGGAAGGCAGTAACTGAACGGAGAGAAACATGTAGAATTGAAGGAGACGAGTACGCCACATTAACTGTATATTGTAGTAACGTACTTAATTTAAACTTCTCAGTTGTAGAGTCAGTTCTCAATAAAAAGCGCAGAAAATCAAATTTTCTTACCCAGACTACATAATTAGACAAACTAACAGGTTTCTAAAAGAACTGGAGACTATTCCTGGAAACAAATGCTGTTCAACAGGACGAACCCTCTTAAGATGTAACAGAAAACCTGTAAATTACCTACAGGATGTGAAACACAGCCTTTAAACATTAAAAGCAACTTCAGAGCTGGCTCAAAGCCTAACTTACTACCCAAAACAAGCTTGAGTCTCAGCGGGGAAACAGGAATTTATTATTTATTTTATTTTATTTTTTCAAAACTTGATCTCACTACAGAGATCTAGCTGTCCTGGAACTCATGATGTAGATCAGGCTGGCCTTGAACCCACAGAGACCCACCTGCCTCTGACTTCCAATTTTGTATTATCTGAAAAAGTAATGATAATGAAAACACAGAACAAAAAGCTTCTCTAGATTTGTAATGATGGGTTACAGACTAACAACTTAGAACTATTCACAAGGGCTTTTAAGCCTTTTCATCAATAGAATGAGGTACCTTTCAGAAAGTAAGCCAACACAGACTGGTTTTCAATAACCCCAACACACTTCGGGCTCTTCTGGATATTAAATAAAGTCCCTGCACGGGGGCTCTGCGCAGAATCTCACAACTAATCAAAGTTGCAAATACTGTCAGCAACATGACCTGTGCACTTCCCCACTTCAGAACGAGCTTTATACCAAATGAGCAACAAAAGCCAGAAAAGTAGGAAGGCCAGAAGGCCTAGGACTAACACAGGCATTAGAACCAAAGAAAAGCTGGCAGTAATTCCGGATGCTGGGAAACACAAGAGGTGTGGGTACAGCTCAGGAAATGGCAGGGCAAGGGTGACTCGCATTTAGAGGCCTCAGCACAGCACATCAAACGGGATTACTTTATGCTGTAGGGTTGAAGTTTAGATGCCAAATTAGGGATGAGGGAAAAAAAAGAACTGAAATGGGAGCCAGGACGAGGAAAACGATGTTCATCAGGACTGGGAGAGCAGGAGGTCTAGCCGTCTGCCAGGGAGCAAGGGAAGCCCGAGGCCCAGCAGGGCACCACTCATAAGGCCCAGCAGCCCTAAAACAAGTGTCACAGGAAATAACGGAGGCTGGTTTCTCTAAACCACGAGGGCTGACAGTCCAACCTCACCCCATACTCTCCATCCTCCTGGGTTTTATCAATGCCGGCTTACAGTGCTCAGAACACTGGAGCTGCCTGCAGAAATAAAATACAGCACACTGACTTCAGTAATGAGTACTCTACAGCCTGAGGGGCCATTAGCCAAATACCACCTAAGTTAATTTGTACCCCCAACCATATTGAATGGCTGTTACTTCCTTGTCAGAAGTAATGTTTTATAACTAAGACATTTAGTATCTCCTCTGTCATCCTAAATTTTTTCAAATCAAAAGATACTTTCAGAAAAGGTTCATCCTTCCACACTACATTCGTGACCTGTTATTACACGTGATTTGTTCTTCCAGCTGCAGCATAATTATACACTGAACTCAACAGCTGATTAAGTCTAATGTGGCCTGGCTCCTGTTAAACTCCCCTGCTTTACAGCCAGCAAGATCCCATAGCATTTCTTTATTGACTTTTTAAGCTGCCAGTGACTCATAACAAAGTGAACCCTAGTAATCCCAGCACTCAAGGAGGCAGAGGCAGGCAGCTCTCCCAGTGCTCGAGAACAGCCTGGGATGTAAAGCGAGACAGGACAGCCGAGACACAGAGAAACCCTGTCTCAAAAAACCACAAACAAACAAGTGAACCCTGACCCCCTTTCCTTTGCATATGGCCACATAGATGCTTACTCCAGCATGTTAACTGACAGACACATCTGTCAGAGCTCATGGATCGTGTTCATGCCAATCACTTCTATGTGGCTGGAATCTACACACGGGCAAGACATGTGACTTAAAGTTTCAATGAAGACTTGCAGAAGTAAACATGACTCCAGAAAGCGCCACAGACTTGATCGTACTGTGTAGGAACTAAGCGAAATGTGACTGTGTTCAAAACTAGACGGAGAATTTCTACCAAGTAGTTAGTTTATACTTCAATGTAGATTGCTTAAATCATTCACATTTTTCTTTATAAAAATAATGCCAAAATATCCGAAAAATAAGATTTAAACTGTATAAGGAAACTAAAAAACACAGAACTCTATTACCCTGTATATACAACTACTTATTAATATTTTATCATTTGTTATCTTCTGTCTTTAATACATTCAAAGCCAAGCTATATAAAATTTGCTTTTAAACTTCAGCTGTTAGAAACTTTTCATTTCTAACATTCTGAAAAGGCAACATGAAGGTATCCATGTACACATCTCATTTTGTATTTAGAGGATATTTAAATGCACATCTTACCAGATTCTCTAGCGCTAAAATGATCAAATGGATTTCCTTCGGCATCCGGGTTTAGGAGCATCATTTCAAATGGGATGTCTTCTGCCTGGGCGCTCTCCATGTCCTCTTGGCATGTGTACTTGTCTGCATAGAACACGTGCCATGTTTGGGGAGCTGGGAGCTGGGCCACTGTCAGGTTGTGCTCAGTCTGGTTCATTATCACTTAGAGAGAAAGAAAACAGCACTCTTCAAAGCTAGGCTCTCAATATTTTAGTCAGAGACTCGATTTGAGTTTAAAATCTTTTTTTTTTTCCCTCAAAAATTTAAGCCCTGGTGTACTATTAAAATAAAGCATAAAGATTGTAAAGCAGAGTAAAATGACTATTTTAAGCAATAAAATCACTATAAAAGTATCAATAACATACCACAAAAGAAAAATGGATTCATTGGAACTGAGCTTTTAAATATTTACAAAGTTTCCAGTGGGTTAACAACATTTATACATTATTTTATGTGGTAAAGTACATACTAAGCTGTCATTTCTCCCCACATCATGCCATGCAGGCACTGCAACCACAGATTTGGAAATAACTCCCCTAATTTAAACCTTTAGCTTAAATCCTTACAGCCAAAAATATGCCTGACCATTTAAAAATGTTTCTTCTAATTGATTTTTCTTTTTAAAAGACACTATTAGTGGTAGAAAGAGAAATGACAGCAAGATTGGCAATACTGGCAGAACCACACCTGGCAGGATGACACAACAGGACGATAACTCAGGAATGCTGGTACACCGAGGTCTGTATGGGAACATGGATTCAGTATTGTGCTGCCTAGTTTTATGTCAGCTTGACACAAGCTAGAGTTATCTGAAAGGAGAAAACTTCAGTTGAGAAAATGCCTCCACAACATCTGGCTGTAAGGCATTTTCTCTTAATGATTGAAGGGGATGGGCCCAGCCCATTGCAGGTAGTTCTGTAGAGGAAGTTTAATTTAGAACTTGGCTGCTCTGGCAAGAGATCTCATCCAAAGACCTTCTAGGTCTGTATGATCCAGGTGGAATTAAAACACAACTTTAATCCCAGGGGACAGAGGCAAGTAGATCTCTGAGTTCAAGGCCAGCCTGGTATAGAGCAAGTTTCAGGTAAAGAAAAGCTTAGGTCCAGGCATGGTGGTATATGCCTTTAATCCCAGCACCTAGAACAAAGAGGCATGCAGATCTCTGAGCTCTATTCAGTCAGTTTGGTCGAGTCATGGAGTTGAGAGACAGTGCAGTAGAGTTGAGTTCATGGCAGTTCAGTTCATGGAATTCAGAGGCAGTTTGACCGAGAGAGGTTTCAGAGACAGGCTGAAGAGAGAACAAGCTAGACACAACTGAAGACAGAACGAGCCAGAACACATTGCTAGAGTTAGTGTGAGGCCAAGCAGAGCTATTCAGTGAGAAACTGGTAGATGCCAGATTGAGTCAGTCAACTGGGAGAAGAGTTTGAGCTAGAACAGCTGAGTTGAACCAGCCAGCCAGAGTTCAGAAAGAACAAGAAAGGATGAGCTTATTCGGCAGTCTCAGAGGCTTCCAGGACTAGGCCTAGGTTAGCAGACAGGAAGAATGACCCTGAGGCAACAATTAAATCAGGTGAATAAAAGTTCCTTTTTACACTATCCCAGGGCTGGTGGTCCTGGGTTCTATAGGACAGCAGGCTGGGCAAGCCATGGTAGCAAGCCAGTAAGAAGCATTCCTCCATGGCCTCTGCATCAGCTCCTGCCTCTAGGTTCCTGCCCTGCTTGAGTTTTTGTCCTGACTCCCTTCAACAATGAACACTGATTTGGAAGTGTAAGTCAAATAAACTTTTCCCTTCCCAAGTTGCTTTGGTCATGGTGTATTACCACAGCAGCAGCAGCTAAGTATGATGCTGTCATTTTGTGTGTGCAACATAAGGAAAACCCACTGCAAACAACTCATGCAAAGACTAAGTTCTGTGATTCTGCTAGTGCAGCATTTGTCACATGCCCTGGACTAACTACATGTTAGCTCTCCTCTTCGTTCAGAATAAAGCAGTTATGCTAATAAGAAAATCTGAACACGTAGGACAAGATACCTGGAGAGTTCTCATGAATCTCAGGAAATATAGGCAAAGGCATGAAAAAAAAAGAACCATTTATCCCTAAAATGCAATAGTATGCCCTCAAGATGCATAAAGTAACATTTTCTTACATAATAAAGACCAGATTAAGAACAACACTTAGCTGAGCAAATCAACAAGTGAATCATCTTTCTGTATTTCTACAATGAACTTGGAGACACCTGCCCTCACTAGCACAGAGCTCTCCTTCCAACAAATGAGGAAGGGTAGGAAAACTGCACGTAAGGTATGCGCTTCTATACCAAGCAGTCTTGAAACAAGCCAGGCCTGGTGGCACTTGCTCAGGAGTCTCATGGAGAAGGAACACAGGCTCAAGGCCTCAGCTACAGAGTGAATGCAAGCACAGCCCCCAGCCCTCCCTCCCAAGGCTCACAATAAAAGTGAAGAGACTGCTGGGTATTGAGGGGCTCAGCAGACAAGGGGACTTGTGTACCTGAAGTCTATCCCTAGGTCCTCAGCCTGGCTGAGAACACCTGTACTCCAGTACTATGGGACATGGATCATTAGGGCTTGCTGGCTGCCAGCCTCACTCAGACCTGTCTCAAGTCACTTAAGGGGAAACTGACAGCACGAAACCTGACATCCTTCTCTAGCCTCAGAGCCTGCAACCCATCCACAGGCACGCACTCACGAGAACACACACCCTTAAAAACAGAGCTGAGGCTGTAGCTCAGGCGAGTGTTTGCTTAGTATGCACAGGGCTTCAGGTTCAATCCCAGCATCAGGAAGAAAAAGGTTTTAAAACAAAAAGAAGCTGGGCAAGGGTGGCGAAAGCCTTTAATCCCAGCACGCAGGGAGGCAAAGGCAGGCAGATCGATGTGAGTTCGAGGCCAGCCTACTCTATAGAGTCCAGGACAGCCAAGGCTACACAGAGAAACCCTGTCTCAAAAACAAACAAAATGCCTGACTCTATATCACTCTCACAGCTCGTCAATATTTAACAATTATTAAATTATTATTATTTAATAATAATTTATCTGTGATGGTGGTACATGCCTTTAAGGAGGAGGCAGGCAGATCTCTAAGTTCAAGGGCAGAGTGGTTGGCAGAGCAAGTTCTAGGCAGCCAGTGCTACCCAGAGAAACCCTGTCTTGAAACAACAACAACAAAAGGTTTAGACTTTTTCTCAACTATACATATACAGATTCTGAGATGGTATGGTGGTGCATATCTTTAATCCCAGCACTCCGCAGGCACAGGTAGGAGGATCTCTGAGCTTGAGGCTAGTCTGGTCTACATAGAGTTCAGGACAGCTACACAGAAAAACCCTGTCTCATCCCTGCCCCAATGTGTACACATATATGTGTGTAAATGTGTGTGCGTGCATGTGTGTGTGTGTGTGTTTGTGTATACTGACTCTGAAAAAAAATGTGGCTAAGGCCCATGTTAAATACATGAAAACTCTTAATAAGAATGCAACATGCCATCATCCAACGGCTCAAGCGTGAGCCGTTGTTACGTAACTCTAGATCTCAAGCATAAAGTCCAGCTGTGATGCGGCTTTAGATTTACACTTTTCCCCGCAATGACACAATACAGTGCCATTGTATCTTACTCTGGTACAGCCTTTGATGCCTCTTTTTAAATTGTGTGCACTTAGCATCAAACGATCTCAGCAGTGCTTTCTAAAGTGGAGCTGGATCTGGCTCCCTCTCGCTGTCGTTTGCAGCAAGCCTCTGGACAATACTGTGTTATTGTTTTTGAGACAAAAGACTACAGCACAGCATGCATGTTCAATGAGGTGTAATTAGTATCTCAAATATTAACCAAATGTGAATCAACGAGGGAGTGCTGAATAGCTAGCTGTCCAGCCATTATAAAAAGAAGGGAATGTTAACAAGAAACTCAGAGTAAAATACTAATGCCTAAAATGTTATTAAAGTATATCAAATACACAAAAATCGCATGTGTGAGATATAAAGCAACAGAGTATTCTCTTTGTAATATTTATTTAACTACTTAATCTGACAACAAATTATTTGGCATCACTTAGTGTTTAAGAGAAATTTATAGTAATTTTCAGCGTCTTTAAATGTCTTGTGTGCTTCTTTTGAACTAAAATGAACAAAGTTTCTAGCATTAAAAAACAAAAACAAAAAAATCTGGGCTGGGGGCATACCTTACAGGCAGTTCACTTACTGAGCACCAGCAGGACTCGGTTCTAACGATCCCTTACACACCCCCATACCACACCTCCAACACACACAGAGTAATCTTATGTTTTAGGAATAGCAAGATGGCTCGGTGGTTAAGAACACTTGATACTCCTACAGAGGACCCTGGTTCAGTTCCCAGCACCCAGAGTGCTCACAAGCTTCATAGCTCAGTCTCAGGGGTTCCACTAATAACACTCAGCACAAACACTTCAGACTGCTGACATTTTCACAGTGTGTACCTTATGTGAGCACAGGGCAAAATTAACAAGATATTTAAATTGCTACTTTGTAAAATAAGAAAATGCACTCCTTCCAAAAGAGTCTTAAGTATGTGGCCCTATTATTGTGTCATGTAGGCATAAGGTTATTGTGTAATTCAAATGCTGATTTCTTTACCCCCCATATCTGGTTGCAAGCCTTGTTCTGAGAGTCTTCTGTCTTAATGTTGTATAAACTCTGCTCTCCAGTGGAGCCCTGCTATGTCAATAAAGCAGCTTACAACCAACCACTGAACAAGGGACAGAACAGGGCTGGATTTCCTGCCAACCAGGGGAGGAGGAGTTAGAGGATAGGAAGGAGATTCAGCCGCAGCAGAGGTCCAGTGGGTCACTTGGAGAGTGAGCTCAGCAGGAAGGCTACAAAGTACAAGTATCCTGGGATGCAGGCTGCAAGGAAGCCAGATTAGGTCAGAGGGCTAAGATTAGAGTTATAACTGCTCAATTCTTGTTTTGTGAAGCTTATTACAAACAAATATAAAGAGTCTCAATTATTTATATGATAGTCCAGGTAAGAGTGGAACTAAGAGAAACCAACACAGGTATATAAAAATAACTAACACTCTTTGAAGCGCCCAAGCAGCATTACATTATAAATGTGACCACTAGTAACTCAGAAGATTAGAACTGATGAAATTACATATAAAACATTATATGTGGGTTTGCCAACTTGACACAGGCATAGTCATCTTGGAAGAGGGGGCTGAGGTTAAGAAATTACTTCCATCGGATTGGCCTGTGGGCAAGTCTGTGGAGCATTTTCAGAATTGTCGGTTGACGAGAAGGGCCCAGTCCACTGTGGGCAGTACTCCCCATGAGTAAGGGGCACAGGCTTTCATAGGAAAACAAGCTGAACAAACCACGGGGAGCAAGCCAGTAGGCAGTACTCCTCTACTGTCCCTGCTTTAGCTCCTGCCTTGGCTTCTCTTGATGACTGTTATCTGTAAGCTGGAGTAAGCCTGTTCCTACCCTACATGTTACAGCTGTGTAACATGTCTTATTGTTACCTAGACAAGGAAACTAGGACACAATGTTTTATAAAAAAACATATGTAATATATGTATTAAAACTGTATAATACATAAGCTTACTTCTTTAGTAGTTTATTTTAGGCTCCTAAATTTAAGAAAATAAAATGTATTCCTCTAAAATTCCTATTTCCTGTTTTCTTTTTTTAAATTTGTATATGTGCAGGGACCCTGAGATGCCAGAAGATAACAGAGTCCCAGGAGCTACAGTTACAGGCCGTTATGAGCTGCTGAACTCAAGTCCTCTGCAGGAGCAGCCAGTGCTTTTAACCACTGAGCCACCTCTCCAGCCACCTCTGTTATTTCATTTCGTACTGCCCCTGTCTTTGAAAGGATAGGAAAGGGAAAGCAGGTGCACAACAACAAAGGCAAAGGAGTCCTTTAGGTTCTAGTGATCTCTCCAGCTCCACCCTAAAAAGTGATACTCCCAGCCTCAGCGCTTCCGAGAGGGCAGCAGCCTTGGCACAGTCCAGCTTGCCCGTCTTAGCGACAGGCTGCCATGGGTCACTAGCAGTGCCTTCCTGTCCTCTGGCAACATAGGAAACTGTTCTGCAAATGGACACACGATATGGTGCAATCTGAACTCTGGGGTGTGGAAAGCCACGTCACAGTCCTACCGCCTGAGGTTTTGAACTAGCTGATAAGGTTTTACTGGAACAAGAAAAAGTCGTTGCAGGGTCAGATGAAGAACTACACCATGTAAACAATGTTTACCATGTACACGTTTACCATGTAAACAACATTCGCTGCACTTACTGTAACTGAAATTTCAGGAAGTATTTTTAGGTTTATTAATTTTAATTTTATGTGTATGTGTGTGTGTGTCTGAGAAAGAGGGGGGGAGTTGTCTGTAGAGATCAGAAGAGGGCGTCAAATCCTCTGGAGATGGACTTACAGAAGGCTATGAGCCACCCAGGCAGTGTGCTGAGAACTGAACTCGGGTCCTTGGCGAGAGCAGGAGGCACTCAACAGCTGTGCCATCATTCTCGCCCTAACTCTATGTTCATTTATGTTGATCTGCTTAATTCCTGTCATATTATCCTTACGGACTGAGAAGACGTCTGTGTTTTGGTCACTGATATGTTAGCAATGCCGAGCACTGTGCATGAAAGCACACACTCCTCAGTGAAGGGACAAATGGACAGACACACGGGTGATTCACTGAGCTTTGAAAAACAGTGAGTGGGAACCATGCTACCTGCTGTATGCAAACAGGAGGATTCACAGAAGAGAGCTGAGGGAACAACAACTGAGAAGGAAAAAGCCTGTGAAAAGGCCGAGGGGAGTAGTAATGGAGCATGGTCAATCAAACGAGGGAGTGAAGAGGCATGAGGACAGAAGGGGGGGTGCATGGCAGAGATCTGAGGGCTCTGCTGAGCACTAGAAAGCCTGAGCGCGTCAGAAAAGCAGGAAGAAAACATCTGAATATGTTAATGGTCAGTGACAAAGCAAAGGCAATGACCAAAGGGGCTATTTAGAAAGGTCACTGGTGACCAGGAACAGTGGTACACACCTGTAACCCCAGCGCTCTGGAGGCAGAGGCAGGCAGATCTCTGTGAGTTGAGAAAACCTGGTCTACAGAGCAAGTTCCAGGCCAGAGAGCAGGTGACTTCAAGAGGGATTTAGAAGCAAACCCTCAGGACTGAGCAGGTAGAAGAGACTGATGGGCCAGCTCCTAAAATGAGAGGCAGTGAAGAGTGGGCTGGAAAGCTGGGTGGGGACAGGCAAAGGAGAAGGACTTGTCTATGCGCGGGAAATGCAAAGATGAGCAAATGTGACAGCAGGAAACCTGGTAGGATTTGTACAGATTTCCAGACAAGTTCAGAAATTAAGGGCTGAAGTACATGATTATATAATTTCTTTCTATCTGAATCTACCATCCAGATCTCTTCAGCAAACCACAGTTGTCATCTAATAACCTAGTTAGCAAACATCACAATGGGCAGTGGTGATAAAGGGACCTGCATTTTCATCCCTGCTCTGGGTTGCTCCTCATAGGTATCCAGAGAGCTGATAAGACTGGACAGTTGGAAACAGGCATGCTCTACCTGGCTAGGCTAAGAGGAGACAGCGGCGTGACCCTGCATGAGGATGCACTTTACAAGTGCAGCAGAGAAAGGGAAGACGGTATCTGCTACTTGTTCCTCATGGATGCCACAGTGGTTTGAATGGGAATGTCCCCACAGGCTCGGATGTCTGAATACTTGGTCCCTAGTTGAAGTGTTTGGGAAGGATTATGAGATGTTTGATGTTTGTGTCATCCGAGCACACCCTCTGCCTCCGGCCTGCGGATCAATGCGAGTGCTTGGCTGCTCCAACTGCCTGATGCCATGCATTCACCCTGCCAGCAGACACTCTATCTCTGGAACTACAACCCCAGCTAAAACTCTTCTATAAGTTGCTTGGTCATAGTGTCTTATCACGGCATCAGAAAAGAAACCAAGACAGACGCTTTAACCATGTCTCCTACGACCAGGTAATTTCAGTGGTATGATGGGTAGAATTGCAACATGTACTTCATTCACAAATGACAAGCCCCACTCTCTCTCTCAGTGGACCACATCCTATCATGAGACACTGTTGATTCAAGAAAAAAAATGGAAGAAACTAATGTTTGTAAGTGGTGTGGTATTCTGCCATCATACGACTCCGTCTCAACAGCACGCTGTCAGACAGCATCACTTGGGATAAGCTGTATGAACTAACACATGCTTGGTGTTTGCAACAGTGCCGGCACACAGCATCTATGCAACCAATGCTATTCACTGCACACTACAAGCAGATAAAAATGTATCTGTCATATTAGCTTGAACTACATAAACCACAGAGTATGAATGAAGAAGACTCCTTTATAAATTATTTGGACACCCAAAAAATTTTTGAATGATAAAAGGGGGAAAGCATTCTATCCTTTGAACAAACAAAAGGGTAGCTTTTGAAAAATGCAGCATAAACATAATAACCAAAATATCATCACAGTTACATGTATGAAGTCACAAAAACACCTTAACAAATACATATATGTACCATGTTGTAGTATACTTCAACAATAAAGGGGGAAAACTCACATCTAATGGTCAAATAAAAAACAAAACAAAACACATACTCACTTGTCAGCTGAGCTCTGGATAACCTCTCAGTGCAGGTGTAACCAGGACTGCTCTCCTGCAGCTTGAGCCATTCCTGGGCTTGGAACAAGTACAGTTTAGCTTCTTTTCCAACAGCTACTGCTATGTTGTTGATTCTGACACACAGAAGTGCATGGTCACCTTGACATTAAAACAGAAATCATCAACTAGTTTGGTTTTACAAAGGACTGAGACAGCAGGACAAGTCCACACCTGCACATACCAATACAGGGATTTTGCAGAACAAGCATTCTTAGATCTCCTTTACGTAAATAAATCACAACATGCCGAATGGCTCACTGAGGTGGAAGAGCTTACCCATCATGGAGTGTATCTGTGTAACTGTGGTGGTAAGTGGTAACATTTCCTGGAGTAAGAGCACGGTCTGGGATGCCTGAACATCCACCATCACACAACTCCCGCTTCTGATGCATGAGTCCATCAGTCTTACATACTTGCTCCTACTCTATAGCTTTTTGCTGAAGTATACTTTTAACACAACATGGCTATTTTAATGTGAAAATAAGTGCAGGTCATAAGTTTAAATATTTGTGTTTGGGATACCTATTTTAAACTCAAAACACATTCTTATACTTACAACTTTTTTTTTTTTTTTTTTTTTGAGACAGGGTTTCTCTGTGTAGTCTTGGCTGTCCTAGACTCCATCTATAGCCCAGGCTGGCCTCCAACTCATAGCAAGCTGCCTACCTCTCTGCCTCCCAAGTGCTGGGGTTAAAGGTATGTGCTACCTTGTCAGCTTATACTTACAACTTTTACAAAAGAATTTTTAGAACAATATATTGGATGAGTAATAGAAAGCGAACCTGGCTGCACAGAGAACTAAGTAACATACAGTGTCAGGGCTAAGTGTAAGGGCACCTGCTGCTCTTGAAGAGGATTGTGGGTTGGGCTGCCAACACCCCTGTAGCAGCTCATACCACTGAAATTCCAATTATGGAGCATCTGTCTCCCTCTAGCCTCCAAAGACACAAGCATAAAAGCGACACACATAAACTCATGCAGGAATGAACACTTAAACAAAAAACAATATTTCTTTGAAATTTAGTATAGTAATAGTGAGAAGCAATTGCCTGTTGGGGAAGGGATGGTAAGTGAAGAGAGGTGAAATAGGAGACTCATTTTACAGCTTTTTATTCTCTTGGTACTTATTTTGTTACTAGAGTTATTGCTTTGGTTAAAACGATACATGTAACATTTTATGTACAGTGTACATAAAAAAGATTCTTACCTAATTTGGTACACTACATCAACTTTTACAAACTCTAAAGCACTATTAACACCTTAAATTATAGTAAGTCAGAGTTGTTTCAGCATGGCTTCACTGTATTAATCAGGAAATGGATCCAAACCTGGCAACACCTAGGCCTACGAGCACTGACTGTGCATAACATACGAGAGGGGAACTATGCACTCCCCAATCTGCCATGAGACTTACACAACTTAACAGTTCTGCTGATGCTCCGTAACATTTCTGAAACAGCATCCAGAGTGGTTCATAACCTATATTTACTCTTTTTGCCCTTCATGCTCACAAGGTAATCCCAGGCAGGGTCATGTGGGGACGTGAACAGCACAAATCGCAGCTTCCACGGCCGGTCCTTGGTTTACCGGCCCTTTCCAGATCCTGGTGACAGGATCAGGTCAGTTCTCAAAGGACCGCTACAATGAAACGGTCAAGAGACTGAAAGCACCACAGCGCCTGTTTACTCGGGAGCCCTTCTGCCTTCAACCAGGTATATTCCGGTTCTTGAACACTGACACGTTTCTCTCAGATTTTGTAAAACCTTCAATTTTGTGTTTTAAAAGCCTTCTTTTACCATCAACTGAACAAGTTCCCAGGTTGACATCCCTTCCCATGCCCAGTAACTTCTCATTTCTACTATATTCTCCTAAACCCCCTTTAAGTAGGTACATTAACATCCGCAGTTTCATCTCTAATGCAACTCGATCACCTACGCTAGCGATCTCAGCTTCAGGATAGAAATTACTCATTTGAAATGCAATGTCCAATTCACGGTACCAAGAAAACACTCTAAGAGACCAAATAAACGGGGCAAAATTAACAAAATGAATCCCGAATTCGTCAACTGAGAAGTATTGATTTTCCCGGGAGATACCAAGAAGTACGAATGAAATGCAGCTCTTCCAGACACGCCAGAATGTACCAGTCGCAAAACTTTCTCAACACTTTGACGCATATGCACCAACTGAACTCTAGGCTCGCAGTTTGCAGAGTGGTACCCAGGCTGCTGAGGCAATGACAGATCCCAAATCCGCTCCAAGTGGGTTGGTCTTACAAACAACAGGAAGCCAAGTTCCTGGGCTGACGCTCACTCACAACTTCAGGGCCCAAATGCATACAAATCAGGCCCAGTGAGGAGCCGGGGCTCTGGGAAGATGCAGCGGAGCTCTGCACCGGGAGCGCTGGGGCCTGGAAACCGCTTGCAGGTGCACTAGGCTGCGGCCTGGGGAGAGCGCAGGGCCGCGGCGACGTGGCGGGAGGGAGGGGGGAGGCGCCCGGCCGCCGCCTACCGACCCCGGGCCTGCGGGAGGCCGCGCGCCCGCACCCCTCAGCCCGCCCCGGACCTACCGTGGAACTCGAAATGGCCGATGCTCTGGCCCTGGGCGTCCCGGGCCGCGGCGCTGCTGAAGCTGCCCCGCAGGGTCTTGGCCTGGCCGCCCTGCGGCCACCAGCAGCTGCACGTGAGGGCTACCGCCAGCAGCCGCAGGCCGCCCATGCCCGCCGCCAGCTCCGCTCGCGCGCCCGGCAACCGCCTGCGGCCTGCAGCCCACGTCGGCAGCGGAGGGCAGGGCGGGGCCGGAGGCCGGCGGCCAATGAGGCGCGGGTTCGCCGGCTCGAGCCGGAGGCAGTAGCCAATCATCGGCCGCGGTAGGCGGGACGTGCGGGTCCGCCGTGCCCCCGCTCGCAGCCATGCTGCTCGTTCCCGCCTGTTTTCAATGGAGCCCTCCAGGGATGTTGCTTAGGGATGCTGTCACCCTAGTAGCCTCTGCGCGTTACGTCATTGCGCACGCGTGCGCTCGTCACTGACGTCTGAGGCTTTCCAGGAAAGAACTGACAAGTCCGTAGCTGAGCCATCGCGGCCAGGAAAGCGCCCTCAGGGCTGGAACACATTCTTTGCGTGTTCTTCCCCGCGCCTATGCCCATTTTAAGGTTGCAAGGATAATTCACACGTCCGAACGGAAAAGCCTGACTTCTCTTGGCACAAACCGATGTATTTTCAATTCCTTGAACAGAGTTCTTAGTCTGGTTGAATTATATCCTCCTCCAGCAGGCCAGATAGCTGCGAATTACAAGGACCACCTCCGTTCACCTGTAATCAAATATCATTGGCCCTTTCTCGGGTGATGGCATGAAGCGGTAGCCACTACACTGGCTTGCGGCAACTGACCTCCCTCCAGTGTTAGTTCTACTTAGCTACAGTCCACTTCTGACTTAGAGTTACAGAACACTTGAGAAAACACCATTTCCCAGCATCACTTTCCTTCAAAAGGCCTTCATCGCTTTTAGTACACAACCCACTCTTTTTAGAATTTCAAATATTCGAATCTCCACTAACGCCCATCTTAACGCTATGAATTCTATATACTCCCCAAGCCGCTGTGTTGGTGAGAGTCACAGACCCCTCTGTCTGGAGTACTTCTTAGCTCCCCGTTTGCTTCGCTTCGCTTTCTCTGCTAGATCTTCTTTTTCCAACACACTTGAAGAAGCCTTTCGGACACCCTGAGTCTGTGTCAGGTTTCGGTGGAACCAGAAAACCTTACTTCCCCTGTCAGGTCACTGACTACAAAATACTGCAAACACCTCTGGTTCAACTGAATTTCTCACTCTATTGCAAGGTACAGACAGTCAGAGACTATGAGCGTCTTGAAAGCACATGTAGGAACTCAAAATTATTTCATTGAATAAGTGCATGCAAATTATCTTCATTCAACAAGATGTCTTTATAACATAAAAGCAAAGGCTCACAACATACCTCCTCACTTAAATAAAGAAACCCACCCCTTACCAGCATTTTCAACACTCCAGACTTCCCAGGACAAGAAGGGTATTGATATTGAGACTTTTTAAAATTACTCTAGTTCTTTTTAAATATAAGAGTAATTCAAACAGCTCAGAAACACATTCATAGTCAAAAGTATATAGAGCAACATTTTAAGTTCTAACTCCCTAATTTCCTTGCCAATGCCCAATACTGAAACGTAGACTGTGTTAGCATTTTCAGGTGCATCTTTTCAGATAAACCTCTGCAAATATATATGGTATTAAGCTAAATGTGCCAGGAGACTGTCCCCAGTATTCTGAATTTCTACATAGGAGCTGCAGCCTAACTCAGTAAGCTTTAGCCAATCAACAGGCTCCCAACTGATCAGCTGTGTCTGTATATGGAAGAAGCATTGTTCTGCATCAGGATTCCCTTTGAGAAGGCACAAATAGAGCCATAACCTGTTAAGTGTTTCCTAGACATTGCTTCCAGGATTTATTTTCTGTGTATGGAAATTTTGTTTACATATGTTTATGTACCATATTGTACAGTGCTCATGAATGTCAGAACACAGCTTCCCTGGAAACTGAGGTTACAGACGGTTGTGACCCACCATGTGAGTGGTGAAATTCCCCGGGGTCCTCTGGAAGAGAGGCCAGTGCTCTACCACTGGGCTGTACTGCCTCTTCTGTTTATATGTTCTGACTGCCAAGGGTGTTTGCTGATGCTCTCTGAACCTTTCTTCCAGAGTGTTGCTTGGGTTTTCATTGTTTGCTGAAATAAAACTCTCCTAAATTTAATTAATCTAAATTCTAATAGTATTATTGAAACGCCCAGAACAGGGGTGAGGTTGTCCCTGAAGGAAAAGCAGAGCATGGGCTTTGACTACAATAAGCACTTTCCTTTTGTCTCATGTTGTCATTGTCTTCTTCCTCCTCCTCCTTTAGACCAGGCTGGCCTCAAACTCAGCTTGCCTCTGCCTCCCAAGTGCCCAAGTGCTGGGACTAAAGGCATGTACTACCGCTGAAAGGCTTGATCTCTTTCTTCCTGATCAGTAATGTTCTTTCACTGAAGACAAACTTCTGATGCCTTGGTTCATAAGAAATAATATAACGGCCAACTGTTCCCAATTGGTAGAGCCTCAGAATTCATAAAGAGCAAGCAGACTATATTAGAATAATTCTAATCTAAATGGCAGTGAGCAATCACACAATATGCCTTCTTGTTGATGAATGTTCGTTCCATGATGCATTCGTCCCAGTGAGCAATTACATCATCGGCCTATATGTTAATGAATGGTAAGAAGATTTTTTTTTTTTAATGGTTCTGGGCCGTTAGGGTGTTTAGATTGCTGTTTAAACTGAATCAAGGAAAGACTCCAATAGATATGGATAAACACTAGTCAGACATCCCAGGAAAGGGTAGTTAGACCAGGGAGGAAGCAGGCCCCGTAATAGAAGAGCAAGGAGGACCAGGCCTGGGACACAGTGAGCCAACGGGAGACCTGAGTAAGAGCTACAAGGGAAATCTACGAAACACGTTTATCATGATTGCAAGTAGCCTTCGCTGTCTGTGATAATATTAACAACAGTAAAATATAACTGTGGGATGCAATTTCCCATTTCCATACTGCATACACTCCGGAAATTTCTGCTCAGCTGGGGGTTAGCCTACGGACGTAGTGAAGTACAAAAATGAAAGCATCCATCCATAACTCCGAACCTCTATGCATCAATAGCAATAATCCCCGTTGGTGCCATTGCCTAGAACACATTCCAGACCCTTGTTCCCGAGTGACCCCAATTACTCCTAGCGAGGTGGCCCGGGAACCGAGCCCGCGTCCGCGCAGTGCCACCGGCCCCGCCCCTCACGCTGTGGCTGGGGAAAACCCGGAAGTTGCTGCTGACTTCCTTTGAACGTGTCGGGGGTGGGCCGTGTCGCAAAACGTCGTGAAGGCGGTTCCCTCGGCTCCTCGGCCTCCGCGCTCTACGGCCCTGGCGCTGCTGAGCTGAAGGATGTCGGCTGCGGGCCCGGGAGAGCCGGCCGGTGGCCCCGGCAGCTTCGTGAAGCGGGTCCTGGTGACCGGCGGTGCTGGCTTCATGTAGGTAGCGGTGCTGCTGTCTGGAAGTGGCTCCCACAGACCCTAACCTTTTCCGCGGCTCTCCTTGACTTTGGGTCCCCGGCTTTGAGGATCGGGTGCGGGGGTCCGAAAGCACGGCTGGGACATCCTCCCAGTGTCCCTCGCTTTTTGGTCGGCAAAGTCGAGGTTGCTCCGAAATTGCGACTGCTCTGACACCTGCCCCCAGGAGGAAGCAGGAGTGCTCGGAAGTGGCCCTCCGGCCTGCCTGGGGGCGTTTGCCATCTCTGGCTTGCTGAGGAGCACACGTCAGTTTCTTCCCGTCTTCTTCCTGACCTCTCTGCCAAACTTCCCACCAGCACGTACAGGCCTTTCAAAAGGTCGCCTCGACACGACGTGAGGATCGTGATGGGTTCTCTATGTCTTTCTCTCTCTTTCTTGCTTATTTTTTTAAGAAAACGTTTACAAATAGTCCCAACCTGTTTGAGGCTCATACCCATGAGCCCGCCCGCCCTTCTGTGTCAAAGGTTATCCTCAGTTTGACGCCTCACCACTGTCCTCTGAGTACTATAGACACAGCCTTCTTTTGCTTGGAACAGTGCTGCTATACCTCTCCTGGTTGAGCTCTGTGCATTTTCTTTAGACCCCTTAAAGTATGTTTCTATACAGAAGTCAGTGTTTTTAAGGAAGTGAGGTGCTCTTTCACAGGATTTTACACTCGTGAGATTTGAAGACTCAGGTGCTCAAGCCCTTCTTTCCAACCTAATCTTTTGCTTTTCTGTACCCAGCACAACCCTCTCAGGGTTCTTGGAGCACAGCAGTCAGTGCTACTTCCTGACTGGAAATGTTTGCGTTTCTTTCTTTGCTTAGGCTCTTTGCACTCTGCAGTTCAGGTGTTAATTTAACGACATACCAACCGGAGAGTGCTTCTCGGATCGCTATAGGCAACTGGCTGTATTAACACTACCCGAAATTATATCGAATATTTATGCTTAGTTGTTTATGGCCTTGCTCTCTGTCTAGAATATAAACTGTGAGGGCAGACATGTTCATTGAGCACGTGCAGAAAGGAAAGTCACCTTCATATTATGAAGGTCTTCAGTAATAGTTGAGTGGATGAATGCATGAGTAATTCTATCTTTGTAGAACTCAGTGTCTCCTGCATGGAGAGGGTACAGGCTTTTTTTTCCTGACCAGTAATATGCAGTGCACCTTGACACCTTGCTAAGGTACCAGGAAGCCGAGTTTCACTTAAGTAACAAGAGTGTTGGTGTGGGAAAGTGCTTGAACTTTGCATGGTAGGGCTGGTCCACCAAGAATATCCTAGAAAATGAGGGGAATAGCCACCAGTATAAACTTCACCTATACAGTTGGTCAGTGCTTGCCATTATTCCTAAGAGCCCAAACTATAAGTGTTTAAAAGATATCTGGTGGTTCATTTTACTGAGATAGCTCCGTTCATGATCCACTGTTTGGTACACAGGACCTACTGTTGGAAGCAAGCCCAAACTCAACTATTATTAGCCTAGGAAACCTGGGATCATTCCAAGACCCTCCTGAGATTTTAGGCTTACCCAGCCAACTTCTAGTAGCAAGAGAGCAGTTGTAGAAGTCACCACAGACAAAGGCAAATGACGGTTGCATGCTGCAGTAATATCTGTATAATTACATCACAGTTCTTGAGAAGGCATAGCGAACTCTCTCAGTACTCCAACTAGAACAGTTTTTCAGGCTCACTCACAGCATTTGTGGACAGCATCATTTGGCTAAACTGGCTTTTTCTCTTTTCTCAGGACCGGAAATTTTTACATGGCATAAGGGCGGTATGAGAGTGTTCATGGGTCCTGCTGAGAAAGTGGGTTAAAAGCATTTGTGTGTGGCATGTTATGTCATCTCTACTGTCTTAGGAGTGTGATGTTATCTCTTAATATTTAACCTTTTTAGGAATCTAGGGAGGTTAATGTTTGTCACTCACAAAGCTCTTTTCTCCTTGTAGTGCATCCCATGTGATTGTGTCCTTAGTGGAAGATTATCCTAACTATATGATCATAAATTTAGACAAGGTAAGGATTGCAAAAAATGAGCTTCGTGTTCTAAAATTAGACCTCCATTTTCCTCCATACTACCTTTAGGCAGTAGTGCCAGAGAACTAAGGATGGTAAGGTGTTCTCCTGTTTTATATTTGTTTGTTTTGTATTTATATTTGGTTGTTTCATCTACTCAGGGTATGTACTGTTATGAGTTCATTCTGTGTTTAATCTTAGGCCAACGCTTTTGAAACTATTTTGCTAGCCTTTAAACCCAGTATTTTTAGTACAGTATTTTTAGCAAAGGAAAAGCTTTACCCTTTAAAAATTCAATATATACTATAATTTTGTATTACTATTTTGGGAGGCTGTTGACTTTTTAAATTTAGCTATTTGATTTTATAATTGCTACCTCCCAGAAACATCTGTGTATTGTTAGAGTATTTCTTTTTAACATTAGAACATAATTAAAGCCAGTTGCAGTGACACTTGCCTGTCATCCAAGCACTAGGGAGGCAAAAGCAGAAGGATCAGAAGAACTTCAGTGTTCTCCTTGAACTATACAGCAAGTTCAAGCCAGCCTAGGAACACATGAGTTCCTGTGTCCAAACAAACAAAAAAACAGTGAAATTAATTTAATCTTGACAGTCTTGTAGTCTTTGTAGATTGAAGTCTCCCAGAAGAGTATGATTCTTTTTTAGTTTAAACCAAAGATGCAAATATCTTTCTTATTTTCTTAATTTACTTATTTTAATTTATACTGCTGTTTTGTGTCAGGGAGTCAGCTCCCCTAGAGTAAGAGTTTCAGACAGTGGTGAGGTGTGAACTGCCATGTGGGTGCTGGGAATTGAACCTGGGTCCTCCGGAAGAGCAGCTAGTGCCCGTAACCGCTGAGCCATCTCTCCAACCTCAACTAGCCCTTTTTAAATATATTCCCTATCATGGTAGCTGAAGAAGGGGTGTAGTAAGTTATAATTTGTGTGAAGCAGGTGCTCTGCATTTTGAATTGCGAGTTCCTTTTCTGTTAAGAACTGAACTTTTGTAGCCACCCGCTACTGGAGAGCTTGAGCAGAACACTTTTAAAGAGGAACTTGTAACAGCCTTTCTCTTAGAGTTTGTTCTTTTGAAAATTAACCGTGACCTGCGTTTTCTTTTAGGATGTCAGAAACTTTAATGGCATAAAAACACAGGAAACATTTTTAGAAGAATTGTTCTTGTATCATAGTGTTTAATGTTTGTGACCTTTAAATTGGCATGTTCTCCCCCTCCCCATATTTTCTTATTTTAAGCTGGATTACTGTGCAAGCTTGAAGAATCTTGAACCTATTTCTAACAAGCAAAACTACAAATTTATACAGGTATGGAAGTTTTGTTGCAATTATTCGATAGTGCCTCTTGAGTCATGCAGGAATCTAATCTTTTTGTGCTGCAAACGTGTTAAAGAGCAGATAGTTTCCAGACGTAGCTCCTGATGTAGAGTTCTACTCTTAGAGGGATATCACAAAAAAGCCGGCGTTTTGGGACCTTGGCAGATGTATGGACAGTTCACACACATCCGGGCACCAGAGTGGTGGTTTTAGTTAGGAGTGATACACACACTTCCTACGCTATTCCGCTTCTTAGGCTTGTCTTCAGTGCATTTTAGCAGCGCTCTCTGAAAGGTTTCTTTTTCTTTTTGGTTTATTTTTCTTATTGCTAAAAAATTTCCTAGTGGTTTTAGCTTTACACGTGTGTAATAGAAATCAGCACAGTATTTAGCAGAAGTTGGTGCTCAATAAAAATACTGCTTGAAACAGAATTTCAAGAATATCTTGAACTTAATACATATGTTCTAAGATGCTCACCTTGCTGTTACACTTGCCTGACTGCTTGACTGATGTGAAGACCTCTGTTGAACTTGGGATGAGAAATGGGAGGTGCTGGAGTAAAACATTGTTACAACTGTGCGTGCTCAGGAACCCTCTGCTTGTCTGTTCACCTTCCCATGCAGGGCGACATCTGCAATTCCCGCTTTGTGAAGCTGCTGTTTGACATGGAGAAGATAGACATAGTGCTCCATTTCGCTGCACAGACACATGTAGGTAAGCATTGTTGTTGCTGTGGTCGCAGGAATCAGGTTGGCTGAGCAGCACCTTACCAGCCTCTGAAAGAGGACACACCTGCTGTGCCAGAAAAAGATAACGGGAACTCTGGTTTCCTTTGTTTTCTAAAATGGGTTCTGGGAGTCAAACTTAGCTCCTCCTGCTGGAGGTGGGTGGTGCTCACTTTATCCTGGTGCCACCACTTTTTACTCATGTGTGTCGGAGTGGAACATGAAGAGTGGCTTTAAAAACCTTGAGTTGACTCAGATCCTGACCACTGCTTGTTTTTGAAAGGACGGAATGAGGTGGGCCTTTAATTACAGGTTCGTGTCGTTCTTCTCCAGGGCAGGTATGCCAGGGAACATCTGCCCCGCTTGTGCATACTGGTGTAATAGCTCAGCCTTTGTCCTGGGCAGTGACATTCAGAAGAGTGTGGAAGGACAGTGGAGTGAGCCTTTGAAATGCCTTTGTTGTTGTTGTTTTTGGTTTTTTGAGACAAGGCTTCTCTGTGTAGCCTTGGCTGTCCTGGACTTTAGAGACCAGGCTAGCCTCAGACTCACAGATATCGCCTGCATCTGCCTCTGCCTCCCAAGTGCTGGGATTACAGGCATGTGCTACCACTACCCGGCCATGTATTGAAAGGGAGATATTTTAGTAAGAAAACTGAGTAGTGATTTCTTGTGTATTCCTGGCTAGCTGAACCTTTATCTAGATGGTGTCATGTTTCATGTGTGTGCATGTTTTTGTTATCTTGCATGTCTGTATGTATGTGTGTGTGGTGTGTATGTGATGTCTGCATGGGTATATGTGAGAGCAGGTGTGTGTGTGTGTGTGTGTGTGTGTGTGTGTGTGTGTGCGCGTGTGTGTGCGTGCACGTGCGCGCATACATTACATGCATGCATATGTGTGTATTCAGAAGCCAGTGGAGGATGTCAGATAAGTCTTCCTCCGCTGAGACAGGGTCTCTTACTGAACCTGAAACTCATCATTTGGACAAGGCTGGTGTTCAGAGAGCTCCTGGGCCCTGCTTGTCTCCACCCCTGGTACTGGGACTACAGAATTGCAGCCTGTGGTGCTGGGGTTTGAACTCTGGTCCTCAAGCTTGCAGAGCAAGCCCTCATATTCACTGAGCCACCTCCCCACTTCTGAGGTGACCTTTCCTCCTTGGTGGTGTGGACTGCCTTGAAGTCCTTATAGTTGGCTTGAATATGGCTGAGTCGTCTCTGGACGACTTTTCCACAGTTTTATTACCAGCACGCCTCTGTCTTCATGGTTAGCGTGTGCATGCTGGGTAAGCGTTCTGTCACTGAGCTCATCCTCAGCCTGGATTTTACTTTTGAAAAATGGTTTTGATCATCCGTGTTATTTATCCTCTTTTGAAAATGTAGCTGAGGAAATGTTTTTATTTCTTTTCCCACTGCTAGTTTGGAAGATAGTCTGTCTGTAGTCACCTTACGTAGCGCAACCAGCTTTTCTTGAGTGTAAAATCCAGAAGCCTTTGCCCTCTTCCCAGCTCATGCCCTTCAGTACTGCTTTGGTCCAATTTTGGTTTTAGCTAAGAGTTTCAGTCTGCTGTCTTTAATTTTATTTTTGTTTTCAGTTCCACTAGATATCAGTCTTAGTATTTTCTACAGTACTATTTTCTGTAGTCAATATTCATGTATATTTGAGCTTTGGAAGTGATGATTTTTCTTGTCTTTTTTTTTTTTTTTAAGATATATTTATTATTTATACAACATTATGCCTGTACACCAGATCTTACTTTAGATGCTTATGAGCCACCTTGTGGTTACTGGGAATTGAACTAAGGACCTTTGGAAGAACAGTGAGTGTTCTTAACCTCCGAGCCATCTCTCCATCCCTTCTTGTTGTCTTTTATTCAATTCATGTTTAATCAAAATTTGTAAGTACATTCTCCATATCAGTTCTTAGGACGCCTTGAGATTCAGCTGATGTTGGCAACCAGCTTAGCTGCCTTATTTTTACCTTTTTGTTTGTTTGTTTGTTTCCATGTGTGTGGGGGGAGTGTGTGTGTGTATGTGCACTGAGTTCAATTGTAATGACTTGGTTTCTTCTTTTTCTTTAAAGTATCACTATGAATTCATGGATTTTAACACTCGACTTTTATTTCTCTCTTTGTTTTTCTTTTTAGATTTTTCGAGACAGGTTTCCTTGTGGAAACCCTGGCTGTCCTGGAACAGTCTGACCTCAACTCACAGAGCCCTACTAGGCTTTGGCTCCCAAGTGCTGGGATTAAATACATATGCCACTTTTTCTTTAGTCGGCTGTGGTGTTGTGGTGCCAGCATTCACACTGTTAGTTTTTGTTTGCTTTAGTTAGTTGTAGCACCGGCATCCACACTACTGCTAGCGAGTGGAAGCAGCTTCTGGTTGCTTCTTGCGTCCCCTTTGGCATAACCTTAGTAGCCTTTGATGTTGTCCTAATCTCTGATGAAGCAGGATGTTCCGCACTTCTCTTCAAGGTTTTCCAGCATGCTCTGCCTTTTTCATATCCTCACATAGCTTTTTTTCTCTGTACATGCCTTAGTATCAGTTTTGGGTCCAAATTTCATGTAGTGGCACACGACAGGATTAAGGGGTTCATTTTGACCGAATCGCTCAGCAAAACCTGTCTCCAAATATAGTCACTCTCTAGCGAACTGTTGGAGCAGGCAGCGGTATAGGTTTTAGGGGAAGTACACCTGGCGGGTTTGGACTAAGGGAGAAATGGTCATCCGTTTGGCTGCACACCACAGGTGTGCTCTCCTCTGCTTGGACAGATTGTAGAGCGGCAGTTCTCAGCCTGTGCTCTCATCCCCTCTGCAGGTAGGACGGCCCTTTCTCAGAGTTCGCATATCAGACATGGCGCAGATCAGATAGGTGTTCTTATCACAGTAGCAGAATCACAGTTAGGAAGTAGCAGTGCAAAAAGGTTTATGTTTAGGGGTCTCTACAGCATGAGGAGCTGTGTGACAGGGTCTGGCGTTAGGAAGGTGAGAACCACTTTTGTAACTCACTCCCAGTGTGCAGACATGCGCTCCTCCAGCTGCTCGGTCTACTGAGAAATACTTTCTCACGGTTTTAGGCATTTATTTCATGATGTTCCTGAGTGCATGCATGTGCGCCGCATGCCAGCAGGAGCCCATGCAAGTCAGAGCAGACATCAGCTCCCCTAGACCTGGGCTCACAGGAGCTTATAAGCCACCACGTGGGTGCTGGGACTTAAGCCTGGGTCTTCTGCAGGAACAAGTGTTCCTAACTACCAAGCCATCTCTCTAGTCTCTCCCTTCAGGTTTTGATTTTGTTTTTATTTTTAAATTTTTTGCTAGTCTGGTAAATGAAAGTTTTTTAATTGAGAGGTTTTTATTATTATTATTATTATTATTATTATTATTATTATTATTAGTGAAGTTGAGCATCAGAAGCTTAAGGTCATTTGTTTAAACTATTTTTTTTTTGTCTTCTATACATTTTACTGTAGGGCTATTCTTGTTTTTATAAATTATTTGTAGGTTGTTGATATGGACTTTTAACCTCCAGTAAGTTCAAGTATTTTATACATATATATATATATATTGTTGTTGTTGTTTCTAGTTTAGGATTTTGTTTTGTGTTGTACTCTGTCTCTTCCCTACCCCCATACTGGTTACACTGAGGACTAACATCACACACTAGGCAGGTAATCTTCTGCCAGTGATTTCTATCTCCAGCATGTTCACATACCTGTTTTAACCGTTTGACAGTGGGCAGTTTGAGTAAGGGTGCTCAGAGCCCGGTTATGGCTTCCTTTTGGTTTGACAATGGGCAGTTTGAGTAAGGGTGCTCAGGGCCCAGGTTACGACTCTGTTTTGGTTTGACAGTGGGCAGTTTGAGTAAGGGTGCTCAGGATCCTGGTATGGCTCTGTTTTGGTTTGACAGTGGGCAATTTAAGGGTGCTCAGGGCCCAGTTATGGCTCTGTTTTGATGGAGTGTAAAGAAAGGACCTGTTACTAAGGGCACGGTTTTGGTAATTGTCTATCTTGATTGATAGATGAGGTCAGATAATAATTTCTCTTACTTTGCATGTCTCTTCCCATGATGCATCTGATTTTAATCATAGTGTGCCTAATTATGCATAGGCATAAGATAGTAAATAGGCAGCCTAGCTGGAAAGTTCACCAGGACACTGTCTGCCTTCCTACATCTGCACCCCGAACCAGTTCAGACTGAAGTGGCCTCTCCGTCTTTGTCCGGATACGTGAGGAATGTATTTGAGTAGAAACTGTCTGACTGTGGTTCTCTGTAGCGGGAGAGAAGCTTGTGCTCTAGTGCAGAGAGGGTGTATAAGCAGTCAGGTGGTGCTCCCATGCGGGGAGAGCTTTGAGAGGGCTCTAGGGCGCTGTGTTCCAAGGGCACTGTTAAAAGGAGTTCAGTACATGACCAAAGTTAAATAAGGGGCCAGACGACTTCTCTCTTCTTTACATATGCCTGTTTCACCAGCGCGTGGAAGGTCGAGACAGGAAGATCAGAAGTTCATGACTCAGCCAGCGGGGTGGCTCATTGAATAAAGGCTCTTCCTGTCCAAGCCTGAGAACCTGCATTTGATCCCTTGAGCCCACCTGGTAGAAGGAGAGAATGTCCAGCTCCCGAGCTGGGCATACACCCGTGTTCACACACAGCACACCGTGCATGCGCCCACCCTTAGTGATAATTAAACAGAAAAGTTGAGCGTCAGGCTCAGCTAGGTAGGTGTGTGAGGCCAGCTTGGGCTACGGGAAACCAAGTGTGTGTCAACCTGTGTCGCACTTTCTTAGACCTAGAGCAGGTGTGCTGAGCAGGGGAAGTGAGCAGTCACTGAGTCAGTCAGCTGGTGTTTGTTTTGTCCTGTGAGTGGAATTAGTAATTGATCTCTCATCCCTTTTAGATCTTTCATTTGTCCGTGCCTTTGAGTTCACATACGTCAATGTTTACGGCACTCATGTTTTGGTAAATACTGCTTATGAAGCCAGAGTGGAGAAATTTATTTACGTCAGCACAGATGAAGTGTATGGAGGCAGTCTTGATCAGGTAAGCTCAAAAAGTGTGTTCTACATACCGGCTACCAGTGTAGGCCTCTGTCTTGTTAAGCAAAGTCATGGCTTTTTCTGTGCTCTGATCACATGGGTCACGTCGCCCTGCAAGGTTTTCTTTCCTCTCCTGTATTCCTGTCACGTGAGGAACAGTTAGCATCAGTACAAGCTTGCTCGCGGTCTGCGTGTTCTGCAGCACGGCCACATGTCACACTCGCCCCACCTTAAACAGGCTTTATCCCCTCTGATCATTTTGCCTGGTACTACTTTTCAGCCCACCTATATTGTAGAGGCTATTCTGACCAGTTGTTTTTATATTAATAGTTCATGATTTTGCTTGGATGACCTTTTCAGTGGCGAGGCTCAGGCTGTTGCAGCAGTAACTGTGAAGATTTCCAAAGACAATGGCTTATCCACCCAAGAAGGTTGTAAAGAAATGTTAACCAGGCCTGGAGGCACAAACCTGGTGATCAGGTCTATAATCTAATTTGAGGAGGCTGAAACAGGAGGATCCAAGTTGCAGGCTAGCCTAGGTAACTTAGTAACACTCTGTCTCCAGAGTAATGACTGTAAGGCTGGAAGGATGGCTCAGTGGTTAAGAATACTCACTGCTCTGACAGAAGACCCTGCCTTCGCTCCTAGTACCCATGCGGTTGCTTGCAGTCAAGTAACTCCAGTTCCAGGAGAGCTGATGCCCATGTGTGCTTTATGTGCTGCACATAAACTTTTGCACACCCCCCCCCCACATGCACACACAAATAAATAACTATGTTTAACCGTTGAGAATTCAGGTTTGAGATAATATGACCTCCACCAGCTCAGTAACTTCAACTCTGTTTCCTTCCCTCACACTAGTCTTCTAAGACCTTTGTACTTGGCTCTTCCCCGACTAGGAGTCAAGGTGTTCCTGTGTTGAGACAGTTTTTACTCACTCCATCCCTCTACCTCCTAATTGCTGTTACAGATGTGTACCAGAAGAGCAAGAGATGGCTTCTTTGATGCAGTGCCTAGGGTTTCAAGCTAGTACTGTAACTGGTTTTTGGTTTTGTTTTGCTGTGTGTGTGTGTGTGTGTGTGTGTGTGTGTGTGTGTGTGTGTGTGTATTGATGTGCACACATGTGTGGGTGGAGTTGAACCCAGGTCCTCTTGAATGTGACCAGACTACTGTTGAGCCACACAGTTAGACCTTACAATATGTTTTTTCCTTAGAGAGTATGTGTAATTCAAATGTATCCTTTTCAAACTAGGAGTTCGACGAATCTTCACCCAAACAACCTACAAACCCTTATGCTTCATCTAAAGCAGCCGCTGAGTGTTTTGTGCAGTCTTATTGGGAACGATACAAGGTAAAAGCTGATTTCTGAAACATTTTTTTTTTTTATTCCTGGCTGTTCCGGAGCTCAGTCTGTAGACCAGGCTGGCCTTAAACTCAGAGATCCTTCTGGCTCTGCCTCCTGAGTGCTAGGATTAAAGGCGTTAGTTCTTTGCTTGTGTATGTGTGGGTGTGGGTGTGTGAACATGTATTCTACAGTATGAGTGTGGTGGTCAGAGGGAAACTAGGGAAGCCAGTTCTTACCTTCTACGCTGTGAGCTCAGGTCATCGGGCCTGGCAGCAAGCACTTCTACCATCTCCCCAGGTCTGATTTCTGAAACTCTTACTAAGCTGTGGATGTAAGTTTTAACATTCTAAAGTCAGCTTTGGCACGGAAGACCTAGCTTAAAAAGTTGGGCAGTAAAGGCTTATAGGTATTGAAATCTTACAGTGTGTGGACAACAAAGGTCCTGTTCTCATGGAGCACTAAGCTGAAACATTTAGTCCTGTTTCAGTAACAGAACATCACAGGTCTGGTGAGGCCCGTGGAAGTCCTCCACGGCAGAGGGTGGCAGATGCTCTTTCAACAGTTGCTCTCCTCTCTGTGAGTCAGCAGTCTTGGCTCCGTGTGGGGTACACTTGTTCTCTTTGTAGTGGTCCCTTTTGCTTGTAAGGGTCGATTAGTGGAGAGCCACCCTGATGTCGACCACCTTCCCATCTATGTAAATGTAGAGTGCTGGAAGCCATCTTGGGAATGACCGCGTGCGTGCAAGGCCTCGGTGTTGAGCCTGTCTCTGTGCCTTCATTTTTAGACATCTTCCCCTGTCTCCACAGCCTGCTCTCCCTATTGGAGCCTCAGCCTTTATCTGATCTTAGCTGTCCTGAGATTTACTGTGTAAACCATGCTGGCCTCAAACTCTGGTGAACTAGTCTCTGCCTCCTGAGTTCTAGTATTGAAAGCAAATCAGCACCAGGCCTGACTTAAAAGATGAAGACAGGGTCTCACTACATAGCTCAGTCTGCCTCAGTATCAAGGGTGTCAGGATCAGGAGTACAGGTGTGAGCCTGTCCTTATAAAACTGACCTCTTTTTGGAGTGAGAGTGGGGGTTCACGGAAGCTTTCTGTGTCTCTCCTTCCCAGCGGAGCCTGCAGTCACCAGTGAGTGCCACTGCAGAAGTAGCTCCTTGCCCTTCAGAGTCAGCCAAAGCACGGATCTATTTTTTTTGTTTTTTGTTTTTTTGTTTTTTTGTTTTGTAGGGTAGGGAGTCTCACAGCTTGGGTGGGCCTGGGAGAACTAGGAATTGATTGGAATTCATGATGTGAAATTCCCAAATAATATTTTATTATCTATACACTTTTTACATACTATATGTAATATATAATTACACACTCAGCTCAGATGGGCCCTAGTGCGCTCACGATGTGTGGTTTTGGTGGCAGTATTTGTGAACTTTGTATCTTTTACGTCACACTGAGTGTTGGGCCCTCCCTCACACTGATACTGAGTGTGCTCTCTTAAGTTCCCAGTCGTCATCACCAGAAGCAGTAACGTCTATGGACCACATCAGTATCCAGAAAAGGTAAACTGCTCCTAGTTCTTGGTGCTTGTGGTGCTTGTCACAGTTTAAAATAAGCTCGCAGTAGTTATTGCTCTGATTAATTTATGCTGTAGTCGTACGTGATGACATGCCCTGTGGTGGCCCGCAGTGCTCACAGGCCAGAGTGTGAAGACTTGAGTCAGCCTGGCGCACTCCAGCTGCCATGCCTTCAGGCCCTTCAACCATGGTCTTTGAGTGAGAACACAGGCTTTCTAGGAGTCTGGTGAGAGGATGTGTGTGGACAAGCATTGTCTTCCTTGGACTCTAACGCACTGTGGAGCACCCCAGCACTGCCCACGGAGCACTGCAGACTGTCTGCAGTTGTGTCGGGGCATGTGAAGACAGGAGCTAATTAGGCAGTGAGGGGGAGCTGGGATTTGCTTAGTGGATACTCATACGATAATGAGATCGGTGCCTGCCTTGAGGTAAAAAACCACCAGAGGTGGCGTGTGTTGGCTGCAAACTGTCCACAGAGGCTTCTCTGCATTCCCATGATGCCTGTCTTTTCATCATAAGGTTTTTACGGAATCACAAACTGCTTTAGTGTTCTCTTATTTACCAAATATTATAACTTTTTTATGAACTTAGGTTGAAAGTTAGAATGTATCCATACATAAATATCTTTGTAATGATTTTTAGCCTTATGAATTTAAATTCATGTTAATGTCATTTTCAAAGTCTGAAATGACATATAAATATTCTTCTAGGTTATTCCAAAATTTATATCTTTGCTCCAACACGACAGGAAATGGTACGTTGCTCTTTACTTTTGCACTGATCTGCCGTCTGCTCTGCTGATAGTGTTTAGTAGCAGTCCTTGAAAACCAGCGCTCTGCCAACTCAGGAAGGCGTTCCCCATTTAATGTGATAGTTTGTCGATCGCTAAAGTGCATCTTCGTAACTTACTAAGGTAAACTCCGAAATTATCTGCCATGGAACTTAGTTAGAAGATAAAATTCTGGCATCTATGTACAATTTATATTTATAAATGATTAATTTAATATATTTATATGTCACTTTTTTCCCCTTTTCTTTCCCATAATTTTTAGGTTCTGGGGCTTGAAAGTAGGCCTTGCACGTCCTGTAGCCCCTATGCCCTCTCCAGTGCCCTCCCTAGCCCTGTGATTCATTGTTGTTGATTTTTAACTCTTTGAAATTGCTCAGACTGGCCTTGAATGTGGGGCTCCTCTTGCCTCAGTTCCCCAAGCGGCTGGTGTTACAGTTCTGTACAGCCCCACCCAGCTTAGGTATTTCTTTAGAATTTTTTAGGAATCCATGTTTTCCACTTTTTAAATCAGAATTCCTCAGAAGCTTGGCCATCATTAAGGAACGAGGGAGAAGAGTTGGGGGAATTGACTCTCACTCGAGGACTTCCAGGGCCTCTGGAAACCGGCTTCCTGGGACTCACACTGGCCATTACTTCTCCTGGCTTGGGGACCTCTTTTCTGCACTTTGTAATTCTGCCTGGTTTAATCCATTTAGCTGTATTCATGGATCAGGGCTTCAGAGAAGAAACTTCCTTTATGCTGCGGATGTAGCAGAAGCGTTTCTCACTGTCCTCAGGAAGGGAGAACCAGGCGAAATTTATAACATCGGGACCAGCTTTGAAATGTCAGTTGTCCAGCTTGCGAAAGAACTAATCCAGCTGGTATGTATCTGCCGTAAGGGGAATCACAAGCTTGTCATCAGGTAGTGGCTGCATTCAAGAACTTGCCAATATCTGTGCCAGTGACCTCCTGCTGCTTCGATGAAACAGCCCAACCACAGGCTACTTAAGGAAGAGCATGTTCCACTTGGAGTCCTTGAGGACTGGAGTCCGTAATGGGGGAGGGGAGTGACATGGCTTGAAGGCGAGAAGAGGAAGCTGGCTAGAGCCATTTTCATCTGCCCACAGGTAGCAGAAGAAGGAATAGGAAGTAGGGTGGGGCTGAAAACCTCAAATCACGATCCCAGGGACATACTCCCTTAGGCCAGGCCCCACCTCCTAAAGCTGCACTACCAGTAGAGGACCAAGGATTCAAATACACACGCCAAAAGGGGACATTTCTCGTGCAGACTACCACTGAGTCATTAGTAGACCGTTTACTTAACTGAAATGAGCAGATGGGAAAATAATTCCTAATTCTGTGTTCTGTGCATCTTCATGTAGTTCTTCAGGGAAAGAATATTAGTGCATCTTCTAGCTGTAAGGTGTACCTCAGCTTCAGTGATGGAAATGTTATTATTCTTGGCATCAAAGAGCAGCGAAGCATAATGTAGCCATGAGGCTGCAGCATGACTGGCTCACCTTAGGTTTCCATGCATCCCCCGTGCTGTCTGTGGGACGCGGTCAGTGTGAGCTCTGCGGGCTGAGTGTGGGGTGTAAGGGTAGAACACCCTCGTGCTGCCCCTCCTTCTCCTCTTCCTCCTCCCTTCCCGCTGTGAGGCGCTTGTCTTTCTCGTTGTCGTTCATCAGCTAGTAAATGCAGTTGTCGCTCTGTGGTCTCTGTGGAATGGGGTTCACACGCCTGCTTCGTCTTGACAGATCAAAGAGACCAGTTCAGAGTCGGAGACGGACCGGTGGGTGCACTACGTTAACGACAGGTGAGGCGCGCGCTGGAGCGTGTGGAGAAGGTGGTGCCGTCTGAGTGCGCATGCCCTGCACGCCTGTTGGAAAGCGGTTTAACTTGTGAACTTTCCGACAAACTTTTCTTCCTAATTGCCAGTGCCATAGACATGAAGGATAACACTTTTTAGCCGTGGGCTCAGAGAGTTGTAGGACTCCTTCCCAGTGTGGGGCTCTATCCCCACACTGTGAAATCCGGATATTATCTCCATATGAAAGTGTCAGAAGGTGTCGTTATAGTGGGGACAAAGCCTCCTGCCATAGGCTCGGCGCTCGAGAATCCTGGGTTCCTCCTACTTGTGCTGTCTCTGTTCACTCATCAAACACTTATACTTTTCTTCTGTATGTCAGGCTCTTCATTTGTACCCAGATTGTGGCTGAAAAAAGTAAATTATAGACAGGATCTGCTGTAGGGAGTGTCACGCATTGGTCGCTGTGGGTTTTCTGTATTTTGTAAAATATTTCTATAATAAGCATGTCCCTGGGGTGATTTTGTTCTAATATGGACGATGAAGACATGTGAATGGTTTGTCTCAGTCAGATGTGCATATTCACACTGTCACGTTAAATCTTTGCCTTCCCAGACCTCACAATGACATGAGATATCCAATGAAGTCCGACAAGATTCGCAGCTTAGGATGGAAGCCCAGAGTGCCTTGGGAAGAAGGAATAAAGAAAACAGGTGTGGAAGGGAGTGACCGTCTGGGAGCAGTGCATGCCCGTGGGAAGGATGCAGCTCGTTGTCAGAACTACAGATCAGCAGGGTGCTCTGAGGAAGGCCTGCACTTCCTGCTGTTCCTGCCTGATAGTTGTGTCCTGAGCATCTTGAGTGTGATGGGTTAAACTTGTCACTGCTCTTCCTGAATCTTGTGTGTTGATCGGATGCCCAGCTCACTGTCACTGGATGCTCAGGTCTTTGCTGTGTGTTCTTGAGAGGTGTGTTTTGTGACCACTGATTGCACATCACCTTTGGTGCAGCTGCTTTCTTGATGATCTGTAAAGTAGTGATCCGAGTTAAGATCATCATTTGAAGAAAATTCCTGTCAATAAGTGTGTGTGCGTGCGCGTGTGTGTGCGCGTGCTGAAGCTGTTTGGACCCTGCGATGTCTTTAATGCCAGCAGGAGATGGAGGCAGGAGGGTCTCTGAGCTAGAGCCCCTTTACACAACAAATTTCAGTCTCAGTAGAGCTGCACGGTGAAACCCCATCCCAAGAAAAAAGAGCAAAAGGAAGCAACAAACAAATCTGTATTTGTATAAAGGATCTTCCTAAGTGTATAAAAACGTCTTGATTCAAAGTTTATATACAAAATACTTGATTCAGACATTAAAATGCAAAGGCCGAGTTAACTTCCATTCTTGACCAGACTTGCACTGCTTACTGGGAAAGCCTTGAACTAATAGTGAGCAGCATAGACTGACCCTATGCTCATCACCTCAGGTTGAAGAAGGCGCCTGCTAACAGAGCAGGGCCTTGGGAATGCTGGAGAATGGATGCTTATTTCTTAATGTTTCCCTGCTTTTCATTTCCTGCCAGTTGCGTGGTACCGGGAGAATTTCCACAACTGGAAGAACGCAGAAAAGGCTTTAGAGCCATTCCCAGTTCAGCCTCCATTTCTGTAACTGCAGAGAAGAGGACGCTGATCTACCTCAGCCAGTGACAGGACCAAGCGCCCAGACGCGACCTCTCACCTGCAGGACAAGGCTGCCCTCAGTGCTGGGCTCCTGCAAAGTTGGCAGGGGTTTCATGCTGGTGCAGGACTGGGGAGATTCCCTTGGCCGGCTCTCCGGAAGTCAGCCCTCCCGGAAGTGAGTCAGGACAGAGCTGGGGCCCTGAGAGCAAGGGCAGGCGGCGTGGGTCGGTGGCCGAGTGGGCAGCTCTAGGCCTTCCAGCTCCCACCCTCCCCAGCACACGCAGTCTTAGACTTTAGGTCCTGCCTGTATTTTTTAAGGTCTGATAATGTGAAGATGGAGCAAAATGAAAGGCTTTCTAGCACTTTTAAACTTGATATTTTGTAAAATTAAGTTAAATGGTTTTTAAAGGTACAATGTAACTCCTCACATTTTTGCAATCAGTTGTTGATTATATATAACCTGTATCAGAGAACTCTTATCATTTATTTACTGTTTACAATTGCTTTATAAAAGTCTATATATTTTAATATATTAAATGCAGATTGTGGTTTCTTTTAGTGATATATTTTTATTTAATTGTAATTTTAAATAGTCATGCATTATTTAATCTCCTTGCCCTAAAGATTTCATTGTAACTTTAAAAAGTAACTGAGCTGATAGTGGGTGGACAGAGTTGAAGGTTGCTCTGTTCTGAATGCAGATTTCGTACCCACTGACCTACTGAGAACCTGCCTGTCACTGCAGCTCTTCTTTTTTAATTCACTTTACATTCTTGTTATAGCCCCATCCCACCCTCTCCCCCATCTCCCCACCCCTTGCCTCTTCCTCAGAAAAGGGGAGCACCCTTTCCTATCTACCCCAGATCATCAAGTTGCATCAGGACTGAGCCTGTCCTCTTCCCCTGTGGCCTGGCAAGGCAGTTCCACCAGGGGAAAAGATATCAAAAAGCTGGCTAGTGAGTCTGTCCAATGCAGTCCCCACTCCTCTTACTAGAGCACCCACATGAACCCTGAACTGCGCATCTGCTACATCTCTTCCTGAGGCCTAGGCCAGTTCATGCACAGTCCTTGGTTGATGTTTAAGTCTCATCAAACCCTCTGGGCCCTGGGTAGTTGCCTATGTTGGTCTTCTGTGGAGCTCCTTTCCTCTTTCCTCCCACTTTTCCACAGACTCCCTTACTCATCACCCAATGTCTGGCTGAGTCTCAGCATCTGTTCTGAGGCGCTGCTGGGTAGAGCCTCACAGGACAACTGTTAGGCTCCTGTCTGCAAGCTTAGCGGAGTATTGTTCATAGTGTCAGGGGCTGGCACTCTCCGATACGGCGGGTCTTTGGTTGGGCCTGGCATTGGTTGGGCAGTCCCTCAATCTCTGATCTATCTGCTCTATCTTTATCCCTGCACACTTGTAGTCAGGGTAAATTTTGGGTCAAAATTTTTGTGGATGGGTTGGTGTTCCCTTTCCTCTGCCAGGAGACTAGTCAAGTTGGTGAGTGTCCTTTTCCACCTGTGTGGCCTCTGCTGCCTGAGTCTCTGCTTGAATCCCCCTCATATCCTCCCAGGAGTCCATCCTGACTTGGGTCTCCAGCTTGTCACAGAGATCCACCCACGCGTCGTTTTCTTTCAGGCCTCTGTCCTCTCTTTCTTTCCCCAGGTCTGATCTCCACCCTCTTAACTCTCTGTGTCCCCTCCTACCTTGTTCCCTCGCTTCAGCCATTACCTCTGTCTATTCTATCTCCCCTTCCAAGTAAAATTTATGCCTCCTCCCTTGGATTCTCCTTGTTAATTCTCTTCTTTGGGTCTGTGCCTAACGGTATGCTTACCCTGTACTATATGGCTAAAATCCTCTTATAAGTGAGAACATACCATGTGTGTCTTTCTGTGCCTCGGTTGCTTCACTCAAGTTAATCTCTTCTGGTTCCATGTGGGTCCTGGGACCGAAGTTAGGATGGATGTCAGCTTTAACGGCAAGTGCCTTAACCTGCTGTGCCACCTCACCCTCCCAAGGTTGTATGTGTGTTTTAAGGCTGTCCCCTCTGGGATGGCTTAAATACAGCTACCGTCCACTTCTCATTTGCCCTGGTATGCAACTCGCCCATTTATAAACCGAGCTGGACTCTTCCCTCCCCTCTCCATTGTCTGGCTGCAGGGGGATATTGAGGGAGTGCGCTGGGAAACTGACGGGAACTGAGAGTTGGCTGGCCTGCCTTTGTGGCTTACTTAGGCCTTCTGGTTGTACCCAGGCCCCAGCTCAGATGTCCCCTTTCCGCCTGGCATCGGTGGACTGCAGCCGACAGTGTGTGAGTGGGCACCATGGTTAGCACGGGCTTCCGTCACCTACATCACTGCATAGGTATCTCCAACAGCAGATCTATTTCCTCAGCATCTCGAGGCAAGAAATGCAAGTCAAGACCAGAGCTAATGTATGTGGCTTTCGCCTTAGCGCTATGGACTCCTGCCCTGGGTGTCCTTTCATGGTCCCTGCCCTAATAGATCTGCCCTAGTTTCCTTCCACGTTTTTCTTGAGGCAAAGAAATAGAGGGAGAAAAGCGGTGTTCTCTGGTCTCTGCGAACGCAGTCAGGTTTGCATGCCATGGCCAGATGCTGGCACCGCACTCTGACAAGATCTTTTTAAGTTGATGTAATCAGATTTGTAGATTTATCTGTTTTTTTAATTTCAAAGATCAGATGCATATGCTGCACAAATTGAACATTTAAGTGAGAAACAGAAAATCATCCCACCACTGAAAGGTCGCTTGTTAATACTTTGATATATGTGCTTTTTCTGGTGCAAATATACATAAATTTTAAAAACCAAAATATGGGATTATCATGGACATAGTGTTTGGAGCTTTTTCCATTGATGGTATATGATGGACACTTTTTACATGACATGGGATCTTTTAACATTTTTATTGACTGTAGAATGAACCAGATGAACGCAGTTGAAAATTTAAAGGAATTTTTCTTTGCCAAAATCAAACAACAACAAAAAAAACTTCCAGAAGATGTTGGTATAATATTCTTATATGGAATATACCCTTATTCATTCAAATGCCGATTTCTCTACCCCACTATCTGATTTCAATCCATACATTGCATTTCGATGCTTATTCTAGGCATCACTTGTCTCAAGTTTGTGTGAACATGCCACTGTTTGTTCTCTGTACTGGTCAATAAAACAACCAGCCAGTGTTGAGCAATGGAGAGAATAGGGTGGGCATCCTGGTCTAGAGGGGAGGAAAAGGAAGCAGGAAAGGAAGAGAGCAGAGGTTGGCAGGACAGAACTTTGAACCACGTGGAGGGATGAACTGGACTAAAAGCAAGTATAAAGGGTGAAATTGAATGGTAGGAAACGATGCGGGCTTGGAGGTTTAGGATGAAGTAACTATTGCCCAGCATGGTGAGGATAACTACATCCTACTCTCTGTGTGTGATTTGGGTATACGGCTAGTTTAGAATAACTACTGTTTAAGTAAAAGATAAATCAATAATAAATATTAATAACACACAAGAAGAAAATGCCCATTTTTAAGCAAAAGATCTAAGCTTTCAATATTTACAAAATGCATATTCTCCTTAAATCAATCTGCTGTTTCTAGATGTTTCTTTTATCCTCATTGAATTCCAAATGTACAACCTCTGACTTGTTCTGCAAATATTTCAGTTATCATAAAAAAAAAAAGTAATGTACCCCATAGCTAAAATTAAATCAGTTTTGAATTCTCAAGAGCTGTCATTGTGGCTGCTTAAGCCAAGATGCTAATCAAGTGGCCTTGGCTGCTGCAATATTCTAATCACCACAATCTGACTTTCCTTAATTATTGTGAAGGTCAAAACAGAAAGCACGATTCAGAAAAAAAAATTAAAAGTTAAAAATAAAAGGCAAAGAAGACATTTTTATCCCCATCATGTGTCATGATAGATTATTAAGTTGACTTTGTAAAGTAAAAAGAAAGATTTTGCTATATATGACATTGAACTTGACTACAAGACCTGGAAATTCTGTGTTTCAAATCTTTAATCAACCTTGTTTCACTTAGTTTTATCCTTCTGAATAAAGATCGTTCCTCATTAAAAAATTCGGTTAGACGTTGTTTTTTAAACATTTTGTTTCAAAATGAAATTGTTAAACTTCTTTTAATTTGGGAGCCGTGGTAAGAGTCTTAAAGGAAAAGAAGGAACAAGATAAAGGTCCTTTATCAGACGTTGTAGCTCTGATTTGAGGGTGCCAGAAATATGATCCTGATTTCACATGACAAGACATGGTAATGAGAGCATACAAGTTGTGGAGACCAACTGTGAACGGAGTTCTTCAGCAGTCGGGAAAACACGGGTTCATACCAAGAGATTTCTACTGCAAAGTAACATTGCTATTTATCCTCTCTCGAATTTTTATTATGCAAAATTAAAAGCAAACAAAATTCAAGACGTTTCTGTCTGTATTTACCAATGTTAACATTCTGCTTTATCTCCATGTGTGTGTGTTTGAGATTTTTACAGAAGCCATGCATGGCAGTACACGCCTTTAATTCCAGCACTCAGGAGGCAGAGGCAGGTGGACCTCTGAGTATGAAACCAACGTGGTCTATATAAACATCTTGTCCTGGCCAGCCTAGGGTGCCCTGTGTCAAGGAGGGGCGGAGATATTTCAGCACCAGCCTCCTAAAAGCTACCATATTATATAATGAGAAGGATATTTTTACTTTTAAGAATGTTAACTAATTTCACACTATTTAATAACTTGCTCAATCTCCTTCCAAGTCTATTATCTATAGTTTTATCTCCACACCTAGATCTAGTAAAAGTCCATACCTTACTACTGATAGGCCTGTTTGTTTTGTTTTGTTTTGAGATGGGGTCTCATAGACCACACTGGCCTCATACTTGCTCCGTACCCAAAGACCCTGAACTTCTGATCCTCCTGCTTCCACCTCATGCCTGTACGGCCAATGTTTAGTTTTGTGTGGTCCTGGGAATCAAACCCGGGGCTTTGTACATGCTGGCGGGCATCCTACCAAGTGAATTACATCCTATTACTGGACATCCTTAACCCTCTTGGTGTCTTTTTAGTCTGTTAAATATAGATGTTTAATACAGATGTCTGAGAGATATAGTACTATCTTCTCATCATTTTGATGTCCTTTTTTAAATGGAAAATTTGCAGACAACAGGCTCGATATCTTAGCAAATATGAAATACTCTTGTTTGTACCTAGTTATTCCTTCATGGTATTGGTAATTTGTTTATCCAGTTTCTGAATTTTTATTCTATGTTTTAGCAAGACCCTTCCATGAGTGTTAGTTTTCCAAGACTGAAAAAATGCTCAAGGCGATCAGAGGAGGAAAGGCTTATTTTAGCTCACAGCTTGGAGGATCTGGAAGGTGTTCCATTGGCCACACTGCATTTGGGCCATTGGCAAGACAAGACTTTGTGGTGTATGGTGTGGCAAAGAAGGCTACTCACCTCACAGTGGCTGGGACATAAGAGTCACTGAGAGGGGAACAGTGTCCCCTTATCTCCTCCAGGGACAGACCCCA